CTGAAAGTCCTCCTCTCCTTAGATCGGCGGGCGTCCTTCCACTTACCTGCCGAGTTCTCCTGCCAGGGCGATTTCTTCTTCTTCTTGCCTTTCTTGCCCTTACCTTTTCCTTTGCTTGCTTCCTCGGGCTTCTCCTCAGCTGCTGCAGGGGCCTCCTCTGCTGTTGCTTGGGGCTTGGGCCTCCTCCTCCTCAGCTGCTGCTGCTGCTGGTGCTGATGCTGCCTTACTGCTTGCTGCTTCCGGACGCGATGAGACCGGAGCCGAAATGGCGGCTGCTCGCCAATCACCCCAGGCCTCTGAGTCAGATGCCCCTTCGGTTGATCTATTGGTGATCCAACCTTTCGGTGGCTTGATTCTTAGGCTCTGGGACTTTATCCTGCACCTCCTCTGCTTTCTTCTTCTTCTTTGGCGGCTCCTCCTTCTCTTGCTCCTCCAAAAGCTTGGCTAGGATCCTCCCTGTCTCAGCTGCTTGTTGAGCAACTGTGTCCTCGCCGGACGACCAGTCCGGTCCTGAAGCCAATTCCTCTGGCTCCACCTCAGCACCTCCTAGTTGCGGCTCTTCGTGTGGCAGCTCTGCCACTCCTCCGGCCTCTGCCGGGGCCTCGGGTGGTTCGGCCTCTGGCACGGCCTTACCACCCTTTCCGCGTCCTCCGCGGCCTCCCCGCCTCCAAGGCGGTACTGGTTCTCGCCCTCTACTAGCGAAGTACCAAATTGAGCTCTTAGGTCCCTCTGAACCTTTACTGCTCCCCGCTACCATGAAAATCTGATTGGCCGCTACGGAGCGCCTTATTTTCTTGAGCCAAAATATATCAACAGTCGTCTCTGTACAGCAGAGCTTGACATGCTTGGCTCCATGCGTATTGGGCTATACATTTCAACATTAGGGAAACCAAACGGAAAACCGAATTCCGTTTAACATCCGCCGTAGGCAAATTTACGCAAACTTCGACCTACAGGACATGAGCCGCAGTCACAGTGAACATAGACCATTGCTGACCTGAAAACATGACTTGTGTCCCCCACAAGACATGGAAAAATGGGCAGACATCATTCGGGGACCACCAACCATTTTTGCGGGGGCTCCAACTATCAAAATCCATAGCCAAAAGTGGTCCACGGACCGCGATGCGCGCGACCCGCCTGGCTGGCCGCCGGCGCCTTGCCGACTTGCGGATGGGGAGAAAATGACGAAGATCCCTCGGAATTTCATTCTGATGGGCGGGAAGCAGATTTTCGTTTCTCTTTTTTTTTGTTTTTGTCTTGGTAGTCTTTTCTTGAGGGTACCCTTTTTGGGTTGTTCCGAAGGGAAAGCAAAGGGAAAGCGCGCTTAGAGGGAACATCCCCTTGGGAAACAGAGGTCAAGCTTGGAATGGCACCGGGTCAAAACGAGGTTCTGGGTTCTGTTTCCAGGGGCCTTGTGAGTGGTGCCTCAAAGTCCGGCTTTGAAAAGCTCCCCTGCCTCCCACTGACAAAAGGAATGCTCTTGAGGTTGACTGTCGCGCATCCAGCTAGCTGTGGCCATTACTTTTCAATCAAAGTACTGAGACTCTGGGGTTGGCCAACATGTTTTTTAACCATCCACGGTCCACTTGTAAAGGGAACACTAGCAGAGTTGATGTTTCAACAGTAATGTGCTTAGACAAGTGGTTGTCCCAACGCTTAGGGGGGCAGTTTGATCAACAATGGATGGATTGCACTGGTTTTAATTTGGGTTTCCAGTCCCAGTCGCCAGTATCTTTTGCAAGATTTTGGGTCGTTGATGCCAGGTTTTGACTAAGACTCACTCAGAGCAACTGACCAAAATTACTGGTAGTCTACTATTGTTTTTGGGGAGGACATGGGGGGCCACCCAAATTGCCCACAAAAACAATCGGGCCCACCCAATTTTCCAATGTCTTGGGAAGAGAGGTAATTTGCCACGTGTTTCTCCAGAGGGAACCCAACATGGGCGGTTTCCTTTGGATTCTTTGTTGAGTGGCTGGCGAAACCCCAACATGAACTCAGAGGGTCCTGGGCTGGTGCGGACAGCTGCTGGCCTTTTTGAGATGGTAGTTTTCAAACCTCTTCCGGCGCACTTCCATGATTGTTGGAGACAAAGTACCTGCCAACATGGGACCCACCAGAGGGTCCTCTCCACCCCAGTCAGGTTCCATGCAGCATGGGTGGGAGGGTAACAATTGGGTGAAAGATGCTGCAATTCCCCCCATTTTGTTTTCATGTTCCCCCTGACCTGTAGAAAAGGAATTGTGCCATCTATGTTCACCCTGCTAATGAACACTTTTTACCCTGGCATAAGACCGCACTACCAGGGTTTTGCCCTGGATTCCCTGGATCGGATTTGAGCCGGCCAGCTCACCAGCTCACCAGCTCGCAGGAACTCGCCAGGGCGCCTGGCGGAGCAGCGCGCCGCGGGGCGCCTGGATGCGGTCACGCCCCTCCGATGGAATCCGAGGCCTCGGAATCGATCGCGGCGTAAACGATCGCAGGCACATGCTGAGCAGTGCACTTGTAAGACAAGCAAGCAGCATTCACGCCGAAATGCTTACATCACCTCAACGGAAGCGCAGTTCACAAAAAAATGCTTTAGCCAAGGACATGCGAAGGTGTCCACAATTGTTTGCAAAGCACGTGTAGCAGATGCTTCCTGACTGAAAGGTCTGAAGGCAGCAGGCTTCCAATGCATAGCTGGGCTCAAGTTCAGTGATCTGAGTTGATAGAATCTTGGAAAGGTTTGTTACCCCCGCTTTGCGTGTTTTTTCAGCATGGCTTGGTTTGCAGAGACTGTGGTGAAGGAGTACAAGGCATGTGCGTGGCTAAGCGTCATTCTCCTGTATCTCATGCCGATTGTGTTCTTTCTCTGCAGGGCGTACAGCATCCTACATGATGGGACCCCGGCAATGCAAACCTCGATGTCGGCAGATTGGGGAAGCTTGCCGACATTCCTGTTTTGCAGCCCGGAGGGGCATCCCAAGCTCGCAAAGTGCAGTCTGGCAGGGGTCATGCCTATCAATGAATCCATGTTGGCGGCGACTGCAACAAGCCCCCACGGCCATGGATGCATTTTATCCAAGGACAAATCTGAACACGAACAATTCAAAGGAAGAGAGGAGCTGGTACACATCGCCTATACGCACCTAGGCTCTCTAAAATGTGTTCTGGTCAATGCCACAACACTGCAGCCTCGCGCGCCTTCAACTCTTCACTTTGAACTTCTCGTTGACGGGTCTGTTAAAGATTCCATGCCTTTCCTGGTCTTGGACAAGCACATGAAAGTACCACTTCAAACGCTTACAGCCTTCACTCCAGGCAACCAAGTGATGAACTTTGTGAAGAAGAGGGATGGCTCAAAACGCTTCTCAGGCAACCCCGAATATGAGAATTTCACCTCCAAGATCTTCTCTCCATCTCTCTACTTGAGTGCTTTCTCCACACTTATGTCTCCAGAGTTGAAGGACATCTACAGCACTCAGCTTCAGTACGCATATCCTGACTTTGACTTGGAGGGCATTGAAGCGCAGAACTTGAGCAAATGGAGGCCAGCTGCACTCGCGAAACTCGCCAAGTACCCGCCCAAGCTTTTGTCCGCCCTCGAGCAGGGCGTGACATATCAAACGTACAAGGCCACTTTGAAAATTCTCAATGGCCATGTGCTGGAAGAAGTGGAGATCGGTCGCTACCCGCAGATTTTCATGTTGTTGGCTCGGCTGGGCGGGTACATGCGACTTGGCGAACAGATTGTTTCAACGCGAAGCCAAATGTTCGTTCTTTAAGTGATGGTGCCAATTTCGAGAAAAGACTAGTGTTCTTGTATTCGCATGGAAAGGGTTGAGCTGTTGCCAGGTCAGTGCTCAGCGCAGTTCTGGGTCTTTGCTGGGTGCAGCGCTGGCCGGACAGCTCTGTGGCGAAGATCTACAGGACAAGGACTTTCCTTTTGGCTGAGACACGCGGCCAGCCCGATCATGAGCTTCTGGCCACTGCAACACTCCCTGAGGCTGCGTAGACCCTCAGAAGTTGCTGTTTCCAAGAGAAGGCAGAGTCCGCTGACTGCGCCGCTACTGTTTCATACTGTTTCGTACTGTTTCCTCGCCAGACAGATCTTCCCGAAGGGAAAGAACTTGAAGCATCGCTTGACCTGAAGAAATGTGTGCGATGTTAACACACATGCACATGTGTTGCTGAATCTATGCCATGTGTACCTGATTAGCAGTGGCTGTTCATTAGCTATCGCCGCGCTTATGAACAAAGCACACCAGCCTCGGCCAAACATAAAACTGTCTCGGTTATCGTAAGAACACTACCAAGAATGAAGACGAGAGGAAAACACCGTTTCTGCCTATGCAAGGACGCTAGACAGGAGGACAGCATGAAGGGAAACAAAAGGAGACTATGACGGAGACACAGTACAAGGTATGCTCCAGCTGGAAGACGGACGTTTCCAAAAAACATAAAGCGCCTAAGGCCAACTCAACTTCTGCCAGTTTGGTCAACCTCAACTTGAAAGCGCATGGGGGGGGGTCCAGCAAACTTGTCCATCTCCGAACGACAGCAGCCCGAGGGCTGCTCTCTCCTCTTCTCTCTTCCCTCGAATCCGAGAGGGCGGGAATCCGATGGCGTGGACGTTATTGGACGAGGGTTCAGTGATCCCAGTGCAGAGTCTTACACATTATATATATATATATATTGAAGTTGGTACCCTTTTCTGGAGCACCACAGAAAATGAGAGACATTTTAGGGGCTCTCCATTTGGAGAGCCCAGATGACCCCAACTCTCCGCAAAAGGTGTCTGCTGGAAGAGGGGAATGATCGGAACTTGGCAGGGTTTCTCAAATAAGCCCTCATATGTCCCTTTTGAGGCGGTTTACACGCAACTTTTTGAGCAAGTGTTAGATTAGTTTCGCTTTGGCGGAGTGATGTTGAAAGGGGACATATAAGGAACCCTGCTTGGGGTAGCCCCAACTTGCCCATGTCGGTTTGGACGAGGCTCATCGACACCAAACCACATGGGGGTCTTTTCTCTTAAGCACGGCCGGAGACAGAGTGAAAGACCGATGCATTTGAGGTTCGAGCAGCAGATGCAGAGGGTCACGAGCCCCAGCCGAAGGGATCTCGACCACCCAAAAACCAAGCGGAACAGGGGGATGGTCCCAGGAAACGTTTGCCTCGATGGGACACCCTAAAACGACATCAGGTTGCGAAAAGTCCTGGGTTCCCAATAGAAAGGATTGTGTCTCTAATCAGGCCGCACCGGTTTCGACTCGGGAGGAATGGTTGGAGCTGTTGATTGGTTTGGCTGGTGATTGGTTTCGTTGCCACGGGAACGATATGCAGACAATACCTTTTCAGTAGGCCAGATGTGACCTGGCTGCGGGCAGATCTCATTAGCATGGATGCCACCGATCTAGGTTCAACCCCTGGCTGCCTGGCTGTGCACAAGTGCCCTGAAGGATTGGTTTCCTTGGACGTTCCCCTTTAATTTCAACCAGCCAGTTCCGGCAAGCGCCCGCCTGTTGCGAAACGAGATTTTCGTGCCGGAGTGATGTGGAGGGACAAAATCGTAGGGCTCCCACCCTAGTATTGAAGTACCGGAGTAAAACAAGAACACAACGGGAGCTGACGTCACTACTTGACTACATGGCTGCGTGTCTTCAATGCGCTTTTCCATCCAAGGGCCCAAAAGCCACCCAGGGATGCCGTGAAGCACTTCATGCAGGAGATGTCGGAGCACCAGCGTGCAGATGCAGCACGGTACCTGCGACGTGCCCTCACCAAAAGAAAGAGTGTGTGTGTGTGTGTGTCCGTGTGTCCGTGCGCAGGGTTGGTTTAGGTTGGGTTTAGGATGGGTTTAGGGTGGGTTTGGGGCTGGTTTAGGGTTGGTTTAAGGTTGGTAGACTTGGCAAACCCGCATTTATTAAGGTTGCTCGCCAAAAGGGGTCCCAGTTGGGGCTAACTCATCAAGGCATAACCAAATTGCACGTTTCAAGGAATCTTGGACGCCCAAAAATATTGGATAGCAATTCCGTTCGTAGGGTCCAAACTCCCCTCCTTCAATCCCCCATGAGCCGTGGCATCCTGCAAAAAAAAACTGGCCCTAAGGCCACGCCAGGGTTTGGAGCTAGGCTCCTACGAACAAAACCCCAGACTTCCCAAAATGCCAAGAGGGCTAGAGCATAGTGTTCCGACATCTCTGACTACGTTTCTTCTTTGACCTCTAGGAGCGTTCAAGCCCAACTTAGTTCTCCGCCCTGTTGGTCTCCTCCGAAATCCTAGGAAATACAAATAAGCACTGTCAACTTTCTAACCCCTGCAAGCTAGTCTTCCCAGGGTTCCCAAAATCAGTGAACGTTCAACTGGGAGGGAATAAGTGGTCCAAACAAAGACTGAGGGAATAGACAAGCGTGCTTTTTCGGAGCCCGAGACTACAAGTGGTTTTCCAACATTCGACAGTTGAGACATAGCAAGGCCCCGGAACTCAAACCTGCAAACCCTCTGGCTCCTCGGCGCTGCACACATCAACTATTGCGATATTACGTGCAGGGGTTGCCTTGTAAAGAATTCTGTTTGTGTCAGGTTGCGTGGCTACACCTGCTTCGTTGCCCAAAAACGACTTGAGCACGACAGCACATTGATGTGTCAGTTTTGACTTGACGTGAGCCGGTCTGCAGGGCAACAAATCTGCCCACCTGAGTTGAGAGCAGCCTGCGCTTCTCGCCAGACCTTCAGGGTTCAGTTTTAGGCGTGCCGTTTTTGGTCGCTGCAAAAGATAGACAGCCACATCCCGCTGACCATCCCAGTGGCGCCTTTTATTTGAGCTCAGGTTTGCTGGCGGGTGCCACCGAGCCGGGCGAGAATTGTAGTACTTGCTACCATCAACTTTGCGAGGGCGTCGCGCAGGATTTCTTGGAGGGCGCTGCTGGCTTCGAGCTGTTGCTGCGCTCGGAAGAACGCCAGAGTTTTGAGCGCTGCGTGCTCACCTCAGATGCTTGGCGTTGAACGGAGCCGGACTTTGGAGTTTGCAGGGTTTGGCAGCTCACGCATCTGACGCCATTTGTTGCGTATGCTGCGCGGCCTCTTGAGCCATGAGGTGCTACTCCTGGCGCTGAGCAAGCGCTACCGCGTGGAGTACGGCGCCCACCCGGCAGCAGATCGCCGCATGGCGGTGCCCTACCGCGCCAAGGACGTGGCAGCCGAACGCGCCGAGTTCGGGCACCCCGACGTGGCCATCCTGCTCAGCATTCTGACGCGCCTGGGTTGGTTTTTGGAGCGCATGTTGGCACTTCACGCGCGAACAACCAGTTCCGCCCAGGTACTACCGTGGAGGCTTGTCAGACACTCACCTTGACGAGGCCGATCCCTGTGTAAGCCAGGGCGCAACCCTAAATGCACGTTCGTGTAGAGAATTGGCGTGTGACAGAGGCTTCGCTCCGACAGGTCTTTGGGAGGCTGCAGAGGAGGGCAGTGGAAACAGAGGCGGCCTTGATCTATGAGCATTGGACTGGTGAGATGAAGGACCGAATGCTTTTGTTTGACGTATGCCATGGTGAAAATATTCCTTGATTTGGGTAAGGATGGTCAGCAGTCCCCGAGAGGGATCCTAGACATCTACGGTAAAGGTGCAACACATTGGTTGCGGCTCTTTAGAGAGGCTGACCTTTTGTTGAGACACCGGAATTTGCACGCGCCTGCAAGAATGAAGAGCCGTTATTAGGATTTGATGGATCCTTCAACAAACTATGCTGTGGGTCAGGAAACAGAAATTCCAAGGCACTGTGTGCCAAATTGCTGGGTTGCAGGATCACATGCCTGAAGATCTCCGAAAGTGGTCCGGTGTGAACCTTGACAACAGGCAGAGGGTCTTGGAAAGGCTGTACCCAAAACTGCGACGCCATCGACGCGTGGTCGACTTTTGGCTAGACGAGGTTGTGTTTCCGGTGGAGGCCAAATGCTTCCCTCACAAGATAGCGTCCACGGGTTGGGACTTGTGCACGCACCTCGGCTTGACGTTTGACTTGGAGGCAAACGTGTGTTTCCGACCAAAGCAGCCACCATTTGAGCCTTTTGGGCAAGGGCGCAACAGCCACCTAGGCACGATCATGTGACGACTGGCTTCTCTGGCACCAACGACACACGCTTGCTGCTGCCTTTGTCCATCAAGCAGAAGGATTTGGAAGCGCTGACATGCACCAACGGGATTGTGTTGCGCAACTTGCTGATCAAGGAGCGGCCGCGTTCATATTGCCACATTGGACCATCAAACATGTGCATGGAGTTTGGGGCGTTAGATGACGTTGTGCGCAACTTGTGTGCAAATATCTTGTTTGATGAAGGACAACAACTGCTACACGGCGCTCGCGCCTTGTGAGGCTCCTAGCGGCGCAAGTTTGCTTGTGAGCGCCCGGGCTAGCAAGCATGTCATCAACGTCGTGCTAGACGCGGGGGCGTGGGTGACGGACATGTCCAATGAGAAGTTTGCCCACGAGTGGCTCAAGATCCGCGATGACATGGAAGCTGTCGTGTTCTTTGGAGCTGACAACGACATTCTGGTCATGAATCACGCTGGCTCAAAGATGCCTTTGGCGACATCTCCATACGAGTCGTCGCTGAACAAATGCCTCTTGTATTTGGACGACATCCACACGCGCGGCTCAGACTTTCGCCTCGCGCCTGGAACCCATGCCGCAGTGACCCTGGGGCGGCGCATGCAGAAGGACAAGCTGGTCCAGACATGCATGCGCATGCGTCTGTTGGGGAGCGCCGTTCAGCTTTCGCAAGCTGCCTTGATGAGCAACCGCGCTGCGAAGCCAAGTTCAAGGAAAGTGCATTCGGCTGGAGCAAGTGCATGGTTTGGCGACCCCCAGATTTTGAGCGCAAAATGTAGAGCCTGAAAAAACAACTTTCGCCTCTCCCCAGGAAGGCATGCAGTCCGGTTTTCTCCGTTCAGCAAAAGGAAATACAGGCCATGCATCATGTGCGTCTTAGGTGTCATTCTACGCGCCCTTTGAAGTGGACCAGCAGCTTGCAGGATTCCGCGCGAGACTGCCTGGCCAGGCTGCTTGCCGGGACCTGCTCGCGATCCTCTCTTGGTGCTTGGCCAACACAGCTCGGGCAATTGCCGAGAATCTGCCCTACTGGGCAGCACAGGGCATCACGAGGTCACAGAGGCAATACGCCTATGACAACTATTACGACAGAGATGATCCGGAGTGCTGCGACTTGGACTCCTTGTCCAGTGCTTGCGCCGAAGATGAAAATTGGTCGCTTCAGGAGATGTATGGGCAAGCTCGCGGGCATCGGCCCATGCCAGCTGTGGTTTATTCTATGATCCGGCGCCGGGCTCGTGCTGCCAACAGGGAGGACGTCCTTATGGAGGGCGGCGTTGAAGAACGCATCATGAAGCATGTCGAAGAGCTCGCAAAGGCCGTCCTGTGCCCCACCAGCTTGTTGTAGGAGGAGCAAGAGCGCGAGTTGGAGGCAGAGCAGGAAGAGGACTGGGTGATCACTTCCCACATTCTGTTGGAATTTCATTCTCATGTTCATTTCCCTGAAAGCACGGGTCCCACATCTGCCATGTACCCGACGTTGGCGTGCGCGCTCGCCTCGGATGAGTTCGCAGGAGCGTGAGGTTGAGCGGCCCCAGCGCGCAACCCCGGCCACACCGCAGGTTTCTGCTGGGCTGCTTGAGCCCCTCGGAAGCGAAGAAGCGAAGAGGGAGGCTCCCGGGAGTCTTCTGGTCCCTGAGGGACCCCAAATGGCCATGGGTTAAAATCCAAATCGTACGGACATCCGAGTCAAACCAACCGCCAAGAAAAAAAACTCTAAAATGGGTGGGGAATTCACCTACCCCAAAATGGTACCACAGCCAAATGGGTATGGGTCAAAAGAAAACAACCAGGAATTGGACAGCCGGTTTTCGTCCATGTTTCCATTTGCCGGGGGTTCCAGTTTGGGTACCGATTTTTGACCCACAGCCACGGCCATGATGTCGAGCAGGGCGCCGCCCCAAAAGTGGTTGACCTGAATGACGTCCACCAAAGGCCCCTAGCCCCGCAGCAAATTTACGCTTGGTTTCTTGGCTTGGTTTTCTTATAATCTTTGAGGAGCAAGCCACGTGAGCGGATATGGGATATTGAGGACAATTTCCAGCAGCGTTCAGGGTTGGCCCCCATTGCCAGTTCAACCCTTTTCACAACCTTTGCGCAATTGCCATTCAATCAGGCATGGTTTCGCAGGAAGTTTGAAGCAGTTGAGCAGGCCCACTCAAAAACCTGTGGGCCCAGGCTAGCAGCGGAGGGACGCACGGAGGAGGCCTTTCAGTCGCTGGACCAAGTCTTGAAGGGAACCTCCTTCGGGAAGTTGAGCTGGTCGGTGGATCTCAAGGTGACCTCCGACTTTGTGAGGACGGCCGCTGGCCGGAGCTTAGTGCGCGGAATGCTTGTGTCGGAGTGATTCGGTGCGACAAAGGCGGGGGTGATTTGGGGGTGGCGTTGAACCAGGAAAGCTTTGCGGGAGCTGGTGCGCATGACAGGAGATTCTCAAGAGGTTCTGATCAGCAACTTTGAGGCCGAGGCTATTGCAAGTGTATTCTTGCAGGAGGACCGGAAGCCGGGCAAAATCAAGGGCCGAATGCATGAGCCAACATCCAACTTGCGTAGATGAAGTTTCTGAGGGGGTAGCCAGGCGCCCCGCATTGGGTGGACTCTGTACTCTATAGATGCCTACTTTATTCTAACTCATGTGTTTGCACGTGCTCCTTGAATAGTGATGAGGCGATAATTTGGAAATGCGTTCTCCAGCAAAACCTGAGCATCTTCTGAAAAGCTGTGTTGTTTTCGGTCAATCTGTGTTTGACGAGTTTCTGTTTTTTGGCGGAATCATGGGTTGCGGCCAGATGTAGATTTGCCTTCTAGCCCGGACCGCAGAACGGTGTCAACTTGTAGTGAGACGCCGAGATATTGGTTTAATACGTGCCACACTTGTGCTTTTCAAGTCTTCAAACCCTATTCCGGAAGCGAGTTTTCTATTGCAATCCGGCCAAAAGGGCAAAGTATGTTGAGGCCTGGGCTTAGGGGGCCTGAGACATGTGCTTTGAATATTTTCTCCGAGTGCGCCCAAACAGGACTCTCAAGGGGGTTGTTGTTGTTCCTCTCTAAGTGTGTTGGATCCATCTAGGTTCTTTGCAATTAGCTACCATTTTCAGGGGAGCGCGGCCACGCTCCAATTGGTGGCGGCCCGGATGTGGGCAGATCAACAGCCGGTGGATAGCCAGCCGCTGCCTATCGCAGCCGAGGCGGCTTGCCTTGAGAAAAGCGGAGGCTCCTAGTGAGGACTCAGCATTCTTCTAAAGCATTTTTTGTATTTTTTGAGCAGAAGCCAAATGACAATGGCAGTCAAAAAACAATCAACCATGAGGGCTCCCGTATTTAAAGACAGCCACTTTGCAGCCCTGCCGCAGGTATTCGCTGGAAGTCTCTACGGAACAGACGAAGCATCAGATGACGTGTCCAGCATTCGGAGCTTTCTGGGGTTGAGCCTACCAATTCCTCGAAGTGAGGGCTGGAACAAGTTGTTTGAGCAAAATATTATCGACACGGATGGCTTCGTAAAGCGCCAGCACCGCGCGCGCGTCGCGAAGGAAGATGCAGCTTTGGTGCGCCAGGCTTCACCCTTTGCCAAGAGTCCTGTGAGCGAAGTGCGGCAATTGTGTCTTGGCGTTTCCCAGCCGTACGCTTGGACTTTTAGCGTTTAGAGGGATTCGCAACATATCCCAATAGATAAAGACCGGGGATCAACGCAGCGCTCAGGTATGAAGCACGGCAGCTGGGCGCTGCTCTTCTTTATGCTCCGGTAGCGCGGCTGCTCGGAGTGTACTGAGAGAGGCGCAGAGCAGCTGTAGAATTGTCAGGTCCCTGAACCTTTTTGATTTCCTTCAGTTGATGAGCCCCCACACGGTACCAAAGCCTGTGCGTGGCTGCATCAGTATCACTTCTGCATGCTGGCCCGGAAGCATTGGTCACACCCATAGCGAAGATCAGAGAGTTCATCAGGACATTACAGATTGGTTCGTGGAAGGACTGGCAGACTGGGCCAAGTTGCAGACTTTTTGTTTTTGAGTCCAGCTGAAGAGGAGCCTGGGGATGACTCTGGCAGCTGTATGGAATGGTCAAACTCAGGCCGACAGTGGAAAGTGCGCATAGTGGGGTCATGGCATCGCTTGCTTTTCGGAGTCGGCTGCGTTGCCCGAATTCTTGTCCAACATTTGGTGGCTTCCGGCTACCAGCGTGTCATTTCAACAAAGAATTGTTGAACACTTCAGTCGCACGGAGTCACGCGGCAAGACGAGGTGCGTGTGTACATTATTTGTGTGCGTGTCAGTGCGTGTGTGCTTCTGCCATAGTTTGTTTGTCGTTGTTTCTTTTTGTCTTTTTGATGTCTCTCTCTCTCTCTCTCTCTGTCTTTCTGTATCGTTTTCCGTACTCCGTGCTCTTCTTTCTCTTTTTCAAGTCTCAACATGTTGGCTTGCTCATATTCTCTTTGTATGTCTTTACAGACTTGCCATTTTATCGTCACTTGCCGCAGAGTAGTTCTGCATCGCATTTGCATGCACCAACAATTTTCTAGGTAACACCAATCACCATTTTTGTTCGCAAATTGCCAGGGGATAGCAGAGTGTTGCTGACTCTCCTGCAGTTTTGGCTCATTGCGCATATCTCATGAGAAAAAGTGAGGGAACACACAGGGACATCAACGGGGTGACGCCAGGTCGGGATTTGGCCTCAGCCTGCCATGGCTCGACTCCGGCGCTTCGGCTTGGTGCAACTGGCGGCCTTGGTCTTCGACACTTGGACAGAAGTAGTGACACAACCTGTACTGGTTGGCTGGTGGTGTCATTTGTACGGCGGATCGCATGGATTAGGGGTATTTGCAGGGTTCTGTCCACTCCAACTGGCTGCAGGATGTTTTCCAGCCACAGCAGCTGTTTGTTTTTTTCTCCAATATTTTGCCTTGCAATGAGATTGCAGCAATCTTGCCAAGTCTCACACTTTGGCGCCAGAATCATGATGACTCGAAAGCATAGATGCAACTTCCTCAGAAATCAGTTCGTGGGCGATCGCCCGCAGGTGGCACCCCATTGCTTCACAGCACCCAAAGCAGTGCTGAGCTCTCGGAGAGATGCTCGCGCTCGCCGCTTGCGGGCCTTGCCGGACTTCGACTTGAACAGCCGCTTGCGGATTCGCTTAGTGTGCGATGGAGTTCGCAGATACTCTGGGATTGATGGGTTGGTGTTTGGGTTGGTGAGTTGGTTGGTTGGGCTGGTGGGTCGTTGGGTCGGAAGCCTTTGAAATCTTTTTGTCCAGACGAGCCTTTCAGAAGGGGTTCCCCTCATTCTTTGATTGTTGGATGCAAATCTAGGATTGTCTCCTGACCTTGAAGGAATTTGCAAGCCTATGAATTTGCAAGCATCGCGTGTTCCTCCCCGCAACGCCCCAATCATTGGGGCCTGATAGGCATCGGGCCAAGGCATCGTTGATAGAACGGAGATGCAGCTCTGCAATACTACGTTGAAACTGACCAGCTCTGTCTTCGGGTTTCCGGACTACGACAGTCTGCTGACCCTCAACAACAACGGCACAGCGCGCTTCTATGCAGGCATGGTGAGCAAAGAGATGGGCGCTTGGTCGGTGGTCGAGGGTGATCCAGAAGAAGGTGAGGATCCTAGCGACCTGTACTTAGCGGCTGGCCGGCACTAATGCTACTCCCCTTGGGCAGTTGGCAATGGCAACTTGTGTGCCTGTGGACATTTCACTGCTCGGGGCATAACCGAATCTTAGGCAGTTCTTTGGCAGCCTTGGCTGTGCCATTATTTTGAGATTTCACCAGTTTTGTACGCCCAGTTTTTGTCCCAAGCTCATCACGTTCGACAGGAAGTTCTCCAGGTCTGATTTCGTCCCAAACATTTTTTTGTTGAAACGTTCAACTCTCCAGCCGGTCCCTTGTTAGCGCTTCAGCAGTCAGATCTGACTGGAACGAGACAGCTTGGCGTTCTTTTCTTGACTTTGGGTAGTCAACACCAGCCCTTTCCCAAAAAACATGTGTGGTGTGTCATTCTTTGGTGGTTACCTGTTTGCTGGTTTTCTGGGGAAACCACTGGGACAACTCGAAGCCCTTTAGCGGCGTCCAAGTCCTCGAAACGGACGAGCTAAACATGTTGGGGGTGGAGGCCCCAAAATGACCATGGGTAACTTTTTCAATTCAGCGGGAACTATCCTCTTGGTGGTCTTCCCAAATTTATCATCCCATGTTGATGGGACCTTTCGCTCCAACCCCCCCCCCCCCCTGCCCTTTTTCCCCATCGAAACAGCCGAGACCTCGACCTGTTCGGCTTCGCGCGCGAGTCGAGGAGTGGACCCAGCCCCTCACCGACACCTACAAGGAGTCCTTCACTGTGCCGGGAGGCACCGCCTTCTGGCGCGGGAAGCTGAACTTTCGGACCACCAAGTCCAAGCGCCCCGGCCGGGTGGGACGGACGAGCCGTTGGGGTTGGCCCGGTTGTTGAGCAAATGCGGGGGGGGGGGTTGAACCCATGAAATTCGGAAAGGAACAAGCCAGATGGGTATGGATGTCAAAGTTAAAGAGGTCTCAGCTGGGGTTGGATCTGGTGGTTCGGCAATTATGGATGTCAACTTGTTTTTGGGCTGGATATGGGCCGATGGCTTGTGCTTTCCAATTTTGGTAGGGCAAGCCATTTTGGTGTTAGCCTTATAATTTGAGCCACATATGTTAAACATTAGAATTCTCACGAAAAGATGAAGTGAGTCAGTTTCGGTCTCGGTTTCGGGTCCCTTTGAAACCGGATCTTTGAAGCCAGATCCACTGGGTCCTGAAAGCGGTTGAACATTTGAAGGGGCGTGTTCTCATAGCTTGATTGCAGTTGAGACCCGGGGAACCCCCCTGTAAACCGTGATGAAGCCTCCCCAAAGCCACCCCAAAAACAGTCAGACACTCCTCAAGGACAGGTTCTTGGAATCTCCTTGGAAAGGGGTTCTGATCGAAGAGTTCTGAGAACCTTTTTGGGGCATGGGGGGCCTTATCGTTTCTCCTTGATCAGTGGGTCCAACTCAAAGTTGTGACATTTTGAGAGGGGAGGTCTTTTTGGGTGGTTTCCCTTTAGACCCAAAGGGACACTTGAAGGACGTCACTTGAATGAACCGCACAAGCCATATCCCTTTGCCGAATTTTGTCTTCCTCTTTTTTGGGCTGCCAAGCAGGCTCTAATCGAACCATGTCAGATAGATGGCTCATTTTTGCGGGACAGCCAAGGAAGCAGAAGGTGTTCGTGGAGGGTGGCATCGTGGTGTCCGAACGGGACGAGGCAGCTGGTCGCAAGATATGTTGAAACAACCAAACCTGGCCACGTTGAACCTGGTAAACAAAAGACTCCTTAACCCAACAGCCCCCGCACAATTTCCCCTCTTACCCCCAATAGGTGAGTTGTTCCCCTGGTTTTTCATCGCCCACCCTACGAGGGGAAGAAGCTGGTGCGTGAAGGCATCTTCTCAGCTCAGTCGGCCAGCGCGAAGATGATCGAGGAAAAAGCCGAAGCGGGGGAAAGACCCACGGAGGGCGTTCACACCCGCACTTTTTTGGCCGGGCGATTGGCAGTGGTTGGATTTTGCTGTGGGGTTTGGTTTCTACCCAAAAGGTTTCCAGTTGCTCCGGGCAAGTGCTTGCACGGAGCCTTTCAAGACAACACCCAGGTATCCCCAAGAGCCATGCCCCTTGGACCTTCTGGAACCCTGAAGGTCAGCAGTTGAATAGTTTCAGATGGGGAAAAGAGGACTTCTCTAAACGAACCTGGGGTGCAAGCAAATCCCGAGTCTCCTTCGTTTTTTCCTTTGAGTTTCTCCTTAAAACCAGCCAACAAGGGGTTCCCGGAAAAAAAAGAGGAGAAAGAAGCACCCAGCTCTTGCAAAGTCCAAGCCTGCGATGCATCGGCGTGTTTGTATCTTCGGGAGTTGGAGGAAGCTGAACCCCCTTCTAGGGCCCAAAACATACACATGCCTGTGGTTGTCAAAACCGTTTTGGGATCCCATTTTGGTTGGTAGGTGAATTCGCCACCCATTTTAGGTTACCTATTTTAGTGGTTGGATTGAATCGGATGTTCACTGGGGGATTTTTCCGGGCATTTGACCCATGGCCACATAGATCCCGAGAAGCAAGGAATATCTCAGTTCTTCAACCTGCAGAGGTTACTCCGACTTCTCAGACCCATAGTGGGGATACAAGGCGTGCTGGACCTTTTTCAGCGAGAAGGGTCGGATCCGCGTCAGTGGACAGGTGGGATCGTTTCCCCGCGTCAGTCGTCTTGGGGCGCAGGAGACCATCCAGAAGGCGCGGGAGGCCTTCGAGCGTGCGCTGACCACGCCCAAGGCGGAGACCAGTGGCTTCAAGACCCCCGCCAGGCGCCCGCGGGGGCGGCGGGGGCCACCGCGGGCTGCAGGGGCCACCGCGGGCTGCGTGGGGGGGGGCCATTTCGCCAGGCATTTTGGTGCTTTGACTGGGTTTCGGGACCCCCGAAACGTTTCACTGGGGGTCAACCTGGCTTGGATATCTGTTGAGTTGGTTTCGTGGTTCGGTTCGTGGCTGCTTCTTTTGGGAGGATAGCCTCGGAATTGCGATTGTCCTTTTGTTATCCTTTTAGAACAAAACAACTGAAATAAAAGACACGCCCATTTTGGGTTTCGTGGCCTTTTCTCGAGGGTACTCTTTTTTTTCAGGAAGCCTAGAGGAAAGTCAGCATTTTGGGGTGCACATCCCTATGTTGACTGTTGATACATTTCCAGCTCAAACCGAGCACAGCTCAGAGACGCACATTCAAGTGCGGTCGTTTAGGGTGGCATTGGGTGCCATTGGGGGGGCCATGGGGTTGCAGCCTTTGCACTTGCATCAGTGTCAATGACTGCATGCTCGTTTCGTTTCATTGGGCCACCCTCGACAAAAAAGACCCACCAAAGGTCACTTACCAGCAGTCTATGGAGCATGAGAACGCACACAATACTCAAAAAGGTGAGTCCTAAATTCTTGCCATTTCCTCTTTGGCAATGTAATTTTCAGCGCTCATATGGTAGCTCCCCGAAAACTAGCTGGTCTCCTTTCGGCTTTGCACCAAACAACCTTTGTGCGAGCCTGCCCAGCCGAACAGCGCGCCCAAACATCGTACTCTCACCACGAAGCCCTTAGTTTAGACCCACTGTTTGCGCAGCTGCCCACTGAGTTGATGTTCATGTTCAAGTGGCCCCCAAATGGTGAGATCACCTCTCATTGAGTCCAAACTGGGGCGAGTTTGGGGGGAAATCCGACCTCTCGCGTCAGAAAAGCTGCAGGGGCCAAGCAAAACCTTTCATTTCTGAGTGCATTCCCCAAACGGCATCAGCAAGAACAACGGATATCCTAAGGTTCCAAGTGTCCAAGGGTCCAGTGGGATTTTTCGATCTGCGGTTCGGCATGCATTTCAGGGTAGGGCAATTTTAGCAAGGGGATATGGCTGTGGGTCAAAACCCACGGGATCCCGTTTTGGTGGTAGGTGAATTCGCCACCCATTTTAGGTGACCTATTTTAGTGGTTGGATTGAATCGGATGTTCACTGGGGGGACTTTTCGGGGCATTTGACCCATGGACCATTTCCGGGTAGGGCAATTTCACCCAGTGGATCTCCAGCGCCGTCTCTCTCCAGGATCGCGGGTGCGGGTGGCACTCGGGTGAAGAAGGCCTTGCCGGGCACCAAGCTCGGCGGCCAGCTGGACAAGGCGGGGCTCTCGAGCCGCGCGCCGCATTTTTTCGTCGAACCCTTTGGGGAGGGGGAGGGGGGAGGCCGGTGCTGGAGCTCTTGTCTGGAAGCTTTGTATACATTTGTTTGTTTGTTTGATTTGTTTGATTTGTATGTGTTTTTGGTTCGGCTTCAACAGCTTTGTGGGACTTCAGCCTTTTTGGGACTTGAACCTCATCAAAGCTTCAGCTTTTCGCGGAGATTGAGCCATCCAGGCAAGGGAAACGAGGATTGGGAGGAAATTTCTGCGGAGTTCTGACAAGCCGACCGAAAATACAAGGGGTCCTTGAAGGAACATTCTATGATTCGCCAATGGTTTGAAAGGAACTCGATCTGAGCGAAGGAACCTTTCCTGCGTCGTTTTCCTACATTTCACTTGTTCTCAGGGGAATTCCGTTTTCGGAGTGATCAGAAACTGCGTTTGCATGTCCGCCCGTCTTGAAGTGTCGCTGCCAGATTGGAATGGGTGTGTGGTTTCCCTTCAAAAGAACCGGGTTGCCTTCCACAAGAAATTCCCCAAATGTTGGGTCGATCAGCGAACACGAGTGGATGCTTTGAGGTTCCATAGCCAAGAGGTGTTGGCCTTCAAAAGTGTGGATCTAGCTCCCAGCTAAGCTCAACCGCTGGCAGTTGCGAGGCTTGATTCCCTCCCGACATCTCGTGCGTGGCCGGAAGCCGCGCCCGCCTTTTCTTTTTTTTTGGCCGCAAGCGATACTCGGTCAGGGAGACCTGGACCTCCTGGAGGACGGCAAGGGGAAGACCTAAGCTCAGCCATGCGGCCATGGCCGACTCCGTGCCGAGTTCTCCGTCTCCGGGTCTGCAGCGGCAGATGTTTCACCTTATGAGGAGTGTCTTTGATTTGCACCGGATGCGCTCCAAATGGAAACTGCGCGTGCGCGTGCGCGGGTGCCGAGTGGCACTCGTTGGCCATATTTGTCTCATCCAAGTCATTTGGGAGGGATCCACATCCATGGCTTCCCCTCAACTTTGCCAGAAGTCTGAAAGATCGGGGGATTGTCGGACCCCTTGGGGCCCCGTTGGTTTCCCTTACGACAGGGTGACCCCTTCATTGCAGCTTCTTCAACTCTTCCGAAGCCCTTGGAGCGCTTTTGGGTCGCTTTCCCAGCTGCGCCTCGCGGATGTCTCGCTTCGCTCAGCTCTTGGCAGAGTTTGACTCGGAAACTCATTGGACTCAGAGACTCGGTGCTCAACCTTCCAGGGGGCCTCCATTTTGTGTTACGACCTTCCCACGCTGGCGGCTCTCGTCGCTTTTTGTGCTTCGGGGTTTCCTTGTTCGGGTCTTCCCACGGCACCTGGCCATGGACGTGGCGGCCGCCGCCGCCAAGGCCGCAGGCCTCCAGGCGACTGAGTGGGCCGGAAATGAGGTGGATGGATTTTGGTGTCCTGTGGCCATCCGTAGTTGGTGGCCAAGTTTTTTTTTTTTTGTTTTTTTCCCCGCACCCTTTAGTGTCCTTTTTTCATTTTGGCTGCACCATGTTACTCATTTGAGCAGATGGTTTCTTTGGGGTTGCTGTTCTTGTACCCCCACTTGTTAGTGGACATTCACTTGCTAGGGACACACATTAGGTCCATGTGCGCATATCTCCACTTGGGGGTTGCCATTTTTCTTCGAGGCGGACGGCAGATTCATTATATATATATATATATAATTATATATATATATATATATGGATCGGTTCAATCCATCAGAGGCGTTCCTGATTCGAGGGAACCTGCTGAGACCCACGTTCCTCGCGCCTTTGGATGTTTGACGTGCAACTCGAAATTGTGATAGACCTGGCTACTGGGTTGGGTCCATATTGGACTCTTCTTGCGTTGCCGGTTTTGCTCATTTCCTCTCCTCTCTTGGTTTTCTCGTCTCTGTTCTCTGGCTCTTGCACTTGCGTTCTTTTTTTCCTTCGTCTTCTTCCTCTTTCCCTCTACTCCTGCCCCGTCCTCCGAGTTTGGCTGCTGGCATGTTGGACAGGACCCTGTGGCGCCACACTGGCGCCAGCTCGGTTCAGCAACTTTCGTTGCAGCGTCTTTTTTAGGTTGGCCTTTTTCTCCTGAAAAAGACGGCATTCCTCGGGGGTCCCTATATTTCCCTTGTTGGTCTGTTTTTTTTTGGGGGGTCCCACGAAAGATGAGTGGTTTTTGTGTTTTAAGGGGAAACGTAGGGAGCCTTGGTTCCTGACACCCTCGCCGGACCTGCGACTCGACTTGAAAAGCGTCCCTGAAGCTTCCGAAGCGCACGGAAGGCGAAGGACCTGCGCTGGAAGACGCGGCTGAGTTTCTTCGTGAACGGCAGCAAGGTGGAGGTGCCATGGGAAAGTGGGGGGGGGGGTTGGGGAGAAGCACGCTTGGGTGTGCCTTTTTTTTGGGGACCCCCCCACAAAATGGCGGCTTTTCTTTGGGCTTCCCTTTAAAACCAACCAAAAGGATGAACATGGGATAACTCGCCAAGTTTTCTCTGGACAAATTGGAGGAAGGGCAATGTAAGTTGTAATAGCAAACATGGCCTCAGGTGGACGTCCTCAAACCTGGAGATGAAGGCTAGGAAGGGATAATCCCAACCATGTATAGGTGTGGCCGCCTCTGTTTCCTTGCATGGACTTGGGCAGACCATCTCAATACCAGATTTTGATTGGGTGGAAATTATGCTTGAGTTAGCCGTTAGCTTGGCCATGTTGCGAATGTTTAAGTCTACTCTGGGTTTTAGGTTGTAAGAGGAACGCCAGTCAGGAAACCGGCATGTTTGACTAGGTCTCCTATTCATGGTCGAAGGAAACATGTTTTTTTTTGCCCAGTTGCGGTGAGTGGCCAAGGGTATCCCCCAAGTGATCAAGCAGTCATGGAATCACTGTTAGCCAACCTCCGCGATTTTCGAGGGAATCTCCAAAGTGACATAGCTGCCGTTGCTTTTCAACCATCGTTCTTTCCAAAAACCGCCCGTTGTCCCTGGGTTTCCGGAGGTTCTCTAGAAAGATGGAAATGGAAGGTACCCCTAGAATGGTTGGATGGGAATCAACCACTTCTTTTGGTTTTTGGGGGTGGACCCTTCGGGAAATGCTGACAAACGCCCACCCAATGCGTTTTGATTTGGAGGTGCCCGACGCCGAGCCGCACCACACCTTGCTGTGGTTCCTGCGGGATCGCCTGGGCTTGACAGGCCGGAGGTCGCCAGGTCGTCGGGCTTTGGAGGGTCCCGAAAAACAAAGGGGGGATCAGGTTGTTCGTAGAATGCGGGAAAATACTTCTGGATCTGATATATATATATATATATATCTATATATATATATACATAGAGAAAGCAAGCATGTCGGGCTAGGCTGACAACATGGGGCTAAGAAACTCTTGAAGGTGCTGAGATTGAGCGCATGTCCAAGTGCTCTCTGAGATCTGTTGCCCGCCTCCGTTTGTTGTGAAACAAGCCGAGAGAGTGGAATGTGTCCTTTTTTGTTGGTTTGGCTCAAAAATGGAGGGCCCTGGTTTACCTTCTTCAATCATCTACCAGGGCCATCTTTTTTTTTCCCGCAAAGGACACCTATGGGAGTGGAATGAAAACACCCAATGGAGGCTTGTGGGCCGAGATCCCCAGCCAGGCACCAAGCTGGGCTGCGGGGAGGGTGGCTGCGGCGCCTGCACCGTGACCGTGGCCTCCTACGAGGACGGCCAAGTGGCGCACCGGGCCGCGCGAGCCCCGGGCCACGGTTGCCTCGCGTGGGAGGACGTGGGAGGAGACGTGCTCGGGGATGAAAATACATTCCTGGCAGGGTCCGGCGAATCGTCCGGTTCAGCTTGGGGTTTTAGTTGCTTTCAGTTGCTTTTAGTTGCTTTTAGCTGCTATGAGTTGCTTTTACGTGCTTTTAGTTGGTTTAGTGGCTGGGTTTCCATTTGACCGGCTCAAAGTTAAACTTCTAGCAGGGACCTGAGGACTGCGCAGTTTCTTGTTGGGATTGGAACAAAGCATGGGGGTAGTGTCTCTTTTTTTGGGAGTTGGTACCCTTTTTTCGTTTTGATTTTGAAGGGAAACCAAGAGGAAACACCACCATTCTAGTGGGTCGCCTTGAAAAGGGACACGAAAAGCAGATATGGGTGGGTGGGTGGGGGGTCCTTTTGGTGGAGCCCTGGACACCAAACAAATTGGCGGATCACATGATGATTGAAGGTGGATTGTTCCCGACGAGTTTTTCTGCTGTTGTTCTGGTCGTTTAGATGTGCTCTCATTGCTTTCAATCTACACAAGCAACTGCCTTTATTTTCTGCTGAGGAGACGACATGGGATATACTCACCAAGTGAGAAACGTAATCGTAAAAACATAATTGCCTGAGTCGGAGGCACAAAGTTTCCCTCGCTCAAGACGCATGTTTTTTGCAGAGTTGTGATGTGCATGGGAATTGGGGAGCACCCACAAAAATAATACCCACAGAATGGATTTTGTTTTTCCATTTGGTTTGCCTTTCAACCAATCATGGCGTGCTGATTGCGCAGCACGCACGCGCGGACGCAACAATAGGCCCCGCAGACCATGCGCCCCAGGGTGGGTTCTTATCACGGATCGAAACTGCACGTGGCTGTTCAAATGATCTCGCAAGGTTTCTTCAAATTAGTTGCTTGAAGACTTAGCTCCGTTGTCCTCTTGCTGGTGCGTTATTCGTGGAAGACTCTATGTTCCTCACAGGACGGCAACATTCACGTGAGTTGCCAATAAAGCTGCCATGCTTGCGCGACAATTGGCTGTGGGTCAAAATACGGTACCCAACATGGAACCCTGGTAAATGGACACATGGACTAAAACCTGCGTAACCCTAGCTCTTAAATTTTGAGCCACACCCAATTAGAGAGACATGGCAACTTGGAGCGGGAACGTGAGTCCGGCTCCCCCCAAGCAGCTTGACAGCAGCAAAAGCTCGATGGCGTCGCTGCTCGGCCCAAATTGAGTGCGCAAATTTGCGCCGGGCAACCAAACAACACGCCGGGCAACCAGTTTGTTCGCGCAAGAGCCACCATTTGATGGTCCGGTGATTGCTGGAAAGCACGACATCTGCCACACATCCAGGTCCCATGTCCGGTTTTGACCGCTCGAGGTGAACGCATGCCTGGCGCCTTTGTGCAGCGTGGACGGCCCGGAGCCCAGGAAACAGGGCTGTTCGCGGAAATGGGCTTGTCTCAATATCCGGGCACCCCGAAACGGGCACTACCCAACAAAGGGCACACACACACACCCACACCATGGGGCATTGGATAGAACTATAGAGCTGCCTTGCACCATGGTTTATCACGAGCGATGCGTGTGCAAGAGGTTCCTCGAAAAGCCACCCACAAGAAACTCCCAACCAACCAGCCAGCCAGCCAGCCAGCCAGCCAGCCAGCCAGCCAAGCAAGCAAGCAAGCAAGCAAGCAAGCAAGCAAGCAAGCAAGCAAGCAAGCAAGCAAGCAAGCAAGCAAGCAAGCAAGCAAGCAAGCAAGCAAGCAAGCAAGCAAGCAAGCATAAAAACCAACCACCAACCAACCAACCAACCAACCAACCAACCAACCAACCAACCAACCAACCAACCAACCAACCAACCAACCAACCAACCAACCAACCAACCAACCAACCAACCAACCAACCCAAAAACGAACCAACCAACCAACCAACCAACGAACGAACCAACCAACCAACCCAAAAACGAAGCAACAAACCAAACTTCCGAACCAGCAAACCAACCAACCGAACAGACAAACAAACCAAACCGCGCCACTGCGCAACGCCTCTCCGCTGCGGAGGCTGCCACGTGACCACCGTGGAGGGCATCGGCACCTCGGCCACGCCCCACGCGGTGCAGCGGCGCGTGGCAGAGCTCCACGGCTCCCAGCCGGGCCCCGAAGCGACCGACGGCTTCGACGGGAAGCGGCGGTTCGGGCGGTTCGACGGGGGTTTTGGACGAGTCCTGAAAGGGAAGCTCGGAAGTTTCCTCTCTTCTTTTTCGGGTTGGGGTGGGGTGTCAGGTTTTTCTTTTTACTTTTCGGTTTCGAAGGAAGTTGTTTTCAGTGGTTGAGTTTGTCAAAAGCAGTTGCCGATTTCTGGTTCAAGACAGAGAGGGCCAGGTGTTTCTCAGCCGTTTTGGCTCCAAAGTGATAGAAGCTTGGCACTCGCGCATCTGCGGATAGATCCGGATCATGGCCAACGGCAAGGCAGGTGTTGACATGATGGCGGGCATGGAGAAGCAGGAGAGGGTCGTGGGAAGGTGATTTTGTTCCTCAGGCTTCCCGAAAGGGGCCGGAACCTTTGGTTCAAACCGTGGCTTAAACAACAATTGGTCTAGTCAGACACCAACGCTTTCTGCTTTTCCATCAAGACCCACTCCTCTTTTTGGGGTCTAAGAAGCTGAGGGGTCTAAGAATCGAAGAAGCTGAGCTGTGGGGTCTAAGAAGAGCAGGCGGCTGTTGGCAGGAGCGGCTGCTGGTGATCGACTTCGGGTCCCAGGTGAGCCACCTGATCTGCCGCCGGGTCCGGGAAGCCGGGGTCTACTGCGAGCTGAGGCGTGGGGTGGGGTGGGGTGGGGTGGGTGGGTGGGGGGGTGGGTGGGTGGGGTGGGGTGGGGTGGGTGGGTGGGGTGGGTGGGTGGGAGGGAGGGAGGGAGGGAGGGAGGGAGGGAGGGAGGGAGTTAGAGGAAAACGGTTCATTTCCAATGCGGAAGCTGCTCCCCAACTCAACTGAGCACCAAAGTTTGCAGGGTTCCTTGCAGGATACATGTTGGCCAATTTGCAAGACGTCCAGGTGAATAGTTAGGCGTATCCTTTAAGGGGCCCTGCTCAAGAGCCAAGGAAACAAGTTGTCCTGGGTATGGGAATCAGCCACTTTGGTATCACAGAAAGGGGCCCATTTCCAACCAATGGCGGCGAGCAGCTTTGTCCACGGCCCAGAAAAAACCACAACTTGCGGGGCGTATACCAGAGCATCTTGCCACAAGCTTGACTTTAGGCAACTAACAGGATTATTGTCACAGAAGGGTGTGCACGTCCCTATTTGGGGAGCCCCATTTTTGGTCGGTGTCCTTTTGGAAGCCCCAAGAAGATTCCCACCATTTTGAGAAAACCCTCGCATAAGAAGTTACCCAAACTCCACCCCACCCCCTCCCAGCTTCCCCACCCCCACTCCCAACCCCCCCTCCCCCCGCCCCGCCAAACCCCCCCCCCATCCCCCTGCCCTCCCCCACCCCCTCAAGTTGCCTTGGGTACATAGTTTTTTTTGTTGGTTGATTTGGTGAAAAAATAGAGGGCCCTGGTTTACCTGGTGGTTCAATCAACTACCAGGGCCATCTATTTTCCGAACCAGGACACCTATGGTTGGAAAACTGTCGAAGGTCGTGCCTCCTGACGCTCTCCGACGTCACTAGCTTCCACCCCCAGGGCATCATCCTGAGCGGCGGGCCCCACTCCGTCTACGACAAGGACGCCCCCCACCTCAGCAAGGACATCTGGAGCTACATCGACGAGAAGAAGCTCCCGGTCTTCGGCATTTGCTATGGGCTCCAGGAGATGTGCCAGGAGTGGGCGATTTGCTTCTCGAGATTTTTTGTTTTAGCACCCTCCTTTTGAGTGTGTCCTTTTTTTGAGGGTGCCCTTTCTGTTGTTGTTTTGTTTTTCAAAAGGGGTTTCCCCACTGTTTCAACCTCCCAATCATTGCCAGACTTCACTTCTTGCCCTGCCCTTCCGGATTTCCTCATTTTCCCTCTTCACCGGCCCTTTTGGGTTCCGAGAAAGCAACTGAACGCTTTTCCCGTGTGGGCCACGTGACCGGCAGCTCGAGCGGATCTTGCCAGGCTTTGGGGGGCAAGGTGGAGGCCGGCACCAAGCGCGAGTTCGGGCACGCGGAGCTGCTGATCCGCAACGACGTGGCGCACCTCACCAAGGAGCGCTGGTTTTGGGAACCGGCCCAAACCAGACACACGCAAAAAAGAAGCCAAACGTGAGTTGAGGACTTCATCCGAGGGTTCCGGTCAGATGTTTTGGGCAAACTCAAGTAAGACACTTTTTGGGCGCCAACGAGACCACTTGAAGGGGGATCCTCTTAATGACAAACTCGTTACATAAATGGGAGTCCCACTTTGGTATATCAAGAGTTATTTCTCCCCTGCGCAACCTGGTTGGTTGGTTGCCTCGCGAGGCGTCTTGAACCTGGGGAGACTTCCCGATCTGAAATGCCAGGAACCACCAAGAGTTGTAGGAATCAACCGACTTGAATTTCCGACTCATATTTTCTGATAGAATGAATGTGATTGTCTAAATAGATAAAGTCTCAAATATATATATATATATATATGTACACACACATATATATATATATACATTATATATATATATATACATATATACATTATATATATATATATTCACAGAATGAATATGATCTACTCAACTGTGCCACCGGAACAAGCCGACCACGTCAAAGAATTTGGGCAACCAGCAAATTTCCCCGAGGACGGGTCCAAGAAGGTGAAGGGCCGGAGCCCCGTCTTCGAGGGCATCGCGGCGGAGAGCGTGCCCGTGTGGATGAGCCACGGTGACAAGGTCACGGAGATCCCTCCAGGCGGGGCTTTGGGCGGTGGGGGCGACGTGTGGTGGGGGGAGAGGGGGGATGCTTCACCAGACTGGTTGCGAAATCCATCCAGCGCACCACCGAAATCAGAAGCCCTGGTTTTCGATTCGATTCCCCAACGTAAATACCAACAAAGAATGGTTTCTAGCATCGTTTCAAGGTGATGCAGGATTTGTTCATCCACAGTACCTCACTGCAGTTGAGCCAATTCTTTGACACCAGCGAGTGAACCAGGAGCGATTTTGAGAGGAAAGAACATGACAGCTGTTGGGACGCATTCTCAAATGTGCTTTTAATTCACTTTGGGGACACGGTGAGCTTTCAACCGTTTTGCTCGGGAAGAAGTCGATGTCTATCTGAAATGGACCAACAACAAGGGGGTTGCATAGCATTTGTGGCAGGATACCTGGAAGATCCATTTCCTTCTCAAGGGACCCTCTGTCAGGTGCCAATGGCAACGTGGGAGGGAGGGTATGTGTATACATATATATATATACAAATAACTAAACATGGGCGAAAGACATGTTTTTGCTCTCCTTCTTTCGGTGCATAGTTGATGTTGGAGAAGTCCATCAGCCGGGAGATCAAAACCAAGAACCCAAAATCGCGGGGAGGTGGGGGGGTAGGGGGGTCACTTGGATGTTCCGGCCGGCCAAATCAGTGGCTTTCACCCCCTAAGGTCAACCTGGGTTACCTAGGCCACCTTCGCAGCTTCACTTGGCCGGAAAAGGTCTTCCCAGCTGAAAAACCGAGGCCCCGACTTCTTTTCGCCCCAAAGTCCGGACTTTTCCCGAAGTCCCCCAGCCCTTTCCTCGCGCTTCTGCGCGCGCGAGTGGCGCCTCGAAAGCTCGCGAGTTCGCGCTTCTGGCTGGACTGCTATTGGATCTCTAGACTCTATCTTTTTGGGAGATCAAGTTGGGTTTTCCACTACCCCCCCCCCCCCCCCCCATTTTTTCTAAAAAATATATTATAAGTGTTTTTTTTTACAGACTCTTTCCAGGGGGGTCGTTGCAAGTGAGGCTTCCACTCCATCGCCTACACCTCCAACACGGAGTTCGCGGCCGTGGAGGACCAGGATCGGCACTTCTACGGGGTGCAGTTCCACCCGGAGGTGACCCACACCCCCAGCGGGGCCGCCATGATCAAGAACTTCGTGCTGAAGGCGCGGGGGCCAAAAGCGCCAAAAAGCCGAGGGTTTTGTTCTTTTTCGTTTTTTGTTTGGAGAGGTGCCGTTTCCGTTTTTCTTTTTTGGAGAGGTTCCATCCTTTTTTTTCTTCTGTTTGTTTGAGGCTGGAGGTCTTTTGAGATGTGGGGATTTGAAGGGACACCGAAAGGATGACTTTGTTTGGGCTCCAAAGGCGAGCAACCCAAACAAGCGCTATGCGTGCGTGTTTCTTGGTCAAGGCCTACCGTTTTCAGGCTTGTTTGAAGGGAAGCCAAAAGGAGAGCCACCGTTTCTGGGCTCCAAATCTTTCTTTACACACGCAGGTGGTGGGCTGCAAAGGGGAGTGGAACATGCACGACTTCTGCCAGAAGCAGATCGACATCATCATGAACAAGATGGGCGAGAAGTACGTGGTGGGTGCCGTCAGCGGGGGAGTGGATTCCAGTGTGGCTGCGGCCTTGGTCCACAAGGCGATGGGTGAAAAATAGGTACCCCAAATGGAAGCCTCGTAACTTGGCTAGTTATTCGGTTCCTTCGCCATGAACAGCTTTTTTTAGTGTTTAGTGGTTAAAAGACTAAAAAGTTAGTGGTTGGAATCCATTTAGTGGTTGGATTTCCGTACTTCACCCACTAAAGGTTAGTCACTTTTAGAGGATCTGAAGTCCAGGTAAGTGGAGACATGGACGATTTAGCCTGCGGTCTGGTTTTGTTTCACTTTGACCCACAAGGCGATTGGAGATCGCTTCCGGCCCTTCATGGTGGACACGGGGCTGCTGCGCAAGGACGAGGCCAAGATCGTGAAAGAGCGACTGGAGAAGCACATCCCAGGCATGAAGCTAAAGGTCTTGGATGAGAGCGCGCACTTCTACAAGGAGTCCGTTGTAGGGGGTTCCCTTCGCGAATGTTGTTTTTTGGTGGGGGGTTGTTCTTCTTCTAATTATTCCGTTTACTCGATCTATTCCAAACCGTAGTTTGAATAGATTAGAATAATTGGAACAATCAACATGAGCCAGGAATGCTCCCAAATGCACACCTCGCACAACTAATAGGACAACTTCGACGAACCCATTTCACTGCCACACTTTCCTTTTTTTGTAATACACCAGAGCCGAAAAAACAAACACAACGAAGCGCAATTTCTTTTTTGGGCCCATCGACGCGCAACAAGATCCTTCTTTTTTTGTGGGCCGGCGCCGAAGAGGAGAAAAAGCACGCCCCAAACACCGGGGGTCCCGTCCAAAAGGGCCGCGGCTCCCAGAGGAGCTGGCCGGGGTCTCGGAGCCGGAGAAGAAGCGGAAGATCATCGGCCGGCTGTTTGTGGAGGCCTTTGAGAAGGCGGTGTCGGAGATGGGCTTGCCCCACGAGAAGTGCCTCCTGCTCCAGGCAAGCCAAGCGAGCAAGCGGCCTGGGGGGCCGGGGAGTCTCAAGTGGGCATGGGTCAAAATGAAGCAACCAGGTTTAGCCCATGTTTCCAATTACCAGGGGGTTTGAAGTAAAATCCAAGTTGGTTTCAGATGGGGAAACAAAAAGGCACCAAGCCCACCGATTTCAAACACGCGCGGAGGGGCAAACCACCAAGCCGCCCGGCAAAAAAGGCGCGCGTTCGACACCCAAAGGTGAACCGTGGATGGGCAAAAAACACACCAAACCAGCCCGAGGGAAAAAACTAACAAGAAAAACAACAAAGAAAAACACACACACACACACACACACACACACACACACACACACACACACACACACACACACACACACACACACACACACACACACACACACACACACACACACACACACACACACACACACACACACACACACACACACACACACACACACACACACACACACACACACACACACACACACACACACACACACACACACAAAACACCTGGCGGATGTTTTTTGGTTCTTGGTTTTTTGGGGCCTTGTTCTTTTTTGCTGTTGCTTTGTTTGTTTCATCGTTTTCGGATGGGTGGAGGTGGATTTCGGGCTTTTCATAAGCAAACAGCAACGAAGACACCCCAAGGTGAAGTTGATGGCTAAACCACCAAACCAACCTAAGAAACACCGAAGGGACGGTGGATGTGTTTTTGTTTCGTCTTTTTTCGGGCGGGCGGAGGTGGAATTCGGGCATGTTAAAAGGAAAACCACCTGTTTCCGGGCGTCTCCTTATTCATGGTGGGTTTCTTGATGGGCTCCGGGCGTTCTTTCTTGCAAGTGAAAGCGGCTGGCTTTTTGGATGCCGCGACTTTAGGCTTCAGTATGTGATTCGAATTCCCAGGGCACGCTGTACCCGGATGTCATTGAGTCCACCAGCTACAAGGGCCCCTCCAGCATCATCAAGACCCACCACAACGTGGGGGGCCTGCCGGACAGGATGCAGCTGGGTCAAGGTTTACATCTACAAAAGAGTGACACAAACGAATGTTCAAGTCCTGTTGGGCGAAATCCGCTTCGCACCAGTGATGGTGGTTTGTCCCATTGACATGGAACCTGAAAGGGACCCGGTCCCTTGAAAAGGAAAATGGTAACCAGGACCCCCCTGAAAGAGCAGGTTCCATGTTGGTGGGAGGGTATCCACTTGGTGGCGCCTAGCCATCCCCTGTAGCTTTGTAGTTAGTTTAGTGGTTGGGTTTCGATGAAACCCACACGTTCGTCACTTTTAGCAGGATCTGAGAACGGGCAGCTAACCCCAGGCTCCTATCCACGTACGTTTGGCCTGCTTGGTTCCAAAGTTGTCTTGATGCGAGAAGCAGGGAATGAGAATTTGAATACCTAATTATTCAGGAAACCAACTCGGTTGGATGGTTTCAGTCGTCAGCCATTTCCTATCTCTTTGCTCTCCGCATGAGCCATTTCTGTTTCTCACCTCTCGCACCAACCTGGGGATTCCCTTAAAGGACACCCACTCAGTTGGACGGTTTCTCTCTGGGTCATTCTCATTCCCGATCGTTTTTCATCTCTCGCACAAAATCGCTGAGGAAGATGGAGGTCATCGAGCCGCTGCGGCTGTTGTTCAAGGACGAGGTGCGGGCCCTGGGCAACGAGCTGGGTCTGCCGGTGACCTCGGTGATGAGGCCGGTGGCAGCTTTAGCTTCTGGCGGAACTGCACGTGCTTTTTGCGCAACCAGGGGCAAGAAACCTAAGGGGACATGTAACCATGGCTTGCGGGTGATTGTTTTCCATACTCACCTTCCATTTGCAGCAGACGATTTGTTTTGTAATTAACACCTGCTGGTTTTAAAGGGACTCGATTTCACTGGACCTATTTTCTCTCCTTTTTCGGGGCACGACACATCCCTTTTCACATGAAGCGCTGAGAAGCCCTGGGTGCCAGGCATCCCTTCCCGGGCCCCGGCTTGGGCATCCGCATCATCGGGGAGGTCACCAAGGAATCCGCAGAGACGCTCAGCGCGGCGGACGACATCTACATCGAGGAGAGCGGGTAAAAGACGACCGGGGGGGGGGGGGGAAACCCCCCATGAACGGAAAAAAAAAAACGGGCCTCAAATCCGGGGCTCGACGTAAAGAGAGGAAGTCGCTCTCGCTCCTGAGGGCGATCTCAGGAGCTGCGGAAGGCGGGGCACTACGACAAGATCGGGCAGGCCTTCGCAGTGCTGCTGCCCACCGTGCGCTCCGTGGGGGTCATGGGGGACCACAGGACCTACGAGCAGCTCGGAGACCAAATGAAAAACATGGAGGACCCCCACGGGGGGGGGGGGTAGTGTGGGGTGGGGTTTTGAGGCATGGACATGTTGTGTTTTTGTTGGGTGGCTTTTGCTTGGAGACTCTGGTGTTGATGTTGTTTTCGTTTTTCTTTTCTCTGGAGGCTTGGGAGTTGTTTTTTCCCCTCCGCTTTTCTGCTTTTTTCCCCATAGAATTGTTACAAGTACATATATGGACAGATGGACATGTGTGGTGGGCTTCGTTGTGCAAGATATTATTTCTGAAACACAGAAATTGAGAAAGATAGAGAGAGAGAGAGAGAGAGAGGACATGAACTTTTTGTTGAATGCACCCCTAGAGCTTCTCTTAGACTTACCCTTAGACTTGCCACACTCTTAGCTTGTTTTTTTGCTTTTTTTCCCCAGATAGCTGAAAGCTATAGGGGTTCTAACTTCTAATAAAGAGTGGAAAGTGATTTGCGAGATTGAGGGCCGGGTGCTAAGGGGCATGCAGTTTGGGGTGCTGGTGGATGCTGCTTTCCAAGCTTGACGGCCGGGTGTTAGGGGGCATGCAGTTTGGGGGTGCTGGTGGATGCTGCTTTGCGAGCTTGACGGCCGAGTGCTAAGGGGCATGCAGTTTGGGGTGCTGGTGGATGCTGCTTTGCGAGCTTGACGGCCGGGTGCTAAGGGGCATGCAGTTTGGGGTGCTGGTGGATGCGGTTTGGGGTGCTGGTGGATGCTGCTTTGCGAGCTTGACGGCCGGGTGCTAGGGGGCATGCAGTTTGGGGTGCCGGTGGATGCTGTTTTGCGAGCTTGACGGCCGGGTGCTAGGGGGCCTGCAGTTTGGGGTGCTGGTGGAGGGGCACGCAGTTTGGGGGGCTGGTGGATGCTGTTCGCGCGTAACGGTTCGTGGCTGGTGTATCGTCATGATGTTCCCAACCACGTCATGATGCAACTGGGGTCACTGCGATGCTGCGTTATGGTTTGTGGTTGTAGTGGCGCCGTGATGCTGTCAACATCAGGATGATGCTGATACGCTGTCACAAGATGGTTCGTGGCTGTATCATCATGATGCTGCCTTTACCATCAGCATGATGCTGTTTGCATCACCATGATGCTGTCCGCATCATCATGATGCTGTCCGCATCATCATGATGCTGTCGAACTCATCAGAACTGTATCAGCATGATGCTTTCAACATCATCATTATGCTGCTGAACTCATTAGGACGTTGTATGCGCGTTTGTAGCGCACCATGCTCAGTGGCTGTGGTATCATCATGGTGCTGTCTACATCATCATGATAATGCTGCGTCATGGTTCGTAGCCGTGGTGTGCTATCTTGGGTCTATGCTGGTGTAGTTGCTTTTTATCCGAGTATAGAGTTGAATTCATGCAGGAGATAGTTTGTCATTCCAGTGGACCGAGGAACGTGTGCGTTTTGAGGGCCGTGACCACCACGGACTTCATGACGGCGGATTGGTACGACATGCCCCACGATGTGTTGGCGCGCATCTCCAACCGAATCATCAACGAGGTGAAGCGCTGAAGCGTTGAGCTCAACAAAACCGCGGAACCGGGGACCCTCCCCGCGACAAACAGTCACAAGAATTGGAAAGCCTTTGTGGTGGTTCTAACATTTTCATGCACTAGTGGGATTCCCGGGGCATCCAAGCAGTACCCCCCCAACTCGTGTTGGTTTCCCTTCGTGTTCTTTCGCTCGCGCTGCATGGGTTCCAGGACGGTTTCCGGATTCGAGTAGTCGTTTCGTTCGACGGGATGAATCGAGTCGTTTCGTTAGACCCTGAGGTGAAGGGCATCAACCGGGTGTGCTACGATGTGTCCTCGAAGCCTCCGGCCACCATCGAGTGGGAATGAGCTCTCGGCTCTGCTCCGTTTCAAGCCCGCGACCTTTCGATTTGAACTTTGAGGCCTCTGAAACCTGAGTGTTGCCTTGCACCTTGCGGTTTGGAGATTCGCGAGCTGTGGCAAATGGTTTCATTGATTCTTGCCGCTCGAGATTTGTGGCTTTGAATCGCTTCCGCCCTTTAGGCGAGCCAAGTGTTAACGTCCATCTTGCATGCGCACTCTATTGGAGTCCACTCTTGTTGTCCTCTGAGCGCCTTTTGTGCTCGGCCGGCTATGGACTGAACAGGCTTTCTTGAGAGAACTTAGCCCACCCAACTCAGCGTTTCGTCGGTCTATGGCGGCCATCTTTCGTGGAGGCCTCGCAAAAAGAGCAAAGCAACCAACTTGGAGCAGCACGGAGGCATTGGGCCAAACACTTTTGCGAGGCAGCCGTTCGCAGTTAGCTGTGCTCGGAGGCCGTTGCTATCAACTCTGATGGCTACAGCCAGATGATTTTGCGAACCATACATTGTTCACACTCGCCCGCGCTCAAAAGCGGATTGCGTTGTTGCTCTGATACGGAAGTGCTTATATGACGTGTAAACCAGTTGGCTCTATCCACAGTCTTCCTTGGGTTTGATGAGATGATTGTACATGAGAGTCCATAATTACAAGATAGGCTGAGCCATAGAAAGAAGATGGGATTCTCATGTCAAATATCTTGTCGCTCGTTTCGAATGCGCAGCATGCCCATGTTCATCTTTGCAACTGTCCCGAGGTGTGGCTTTTGTACGCCGGGCATCGTCATGTCCCTGTACACCACGCTTTGCAGGAGAGTTGCATCTCGCATCCTTTTTTTTGGGTTCCATTGCGGGGAGGGTATTGGTTTGGGAGATCTTCACTGGTGTGGCACGCCTGCTTTAAAGGTTTCTTGGAGGAGCAGCTCAGCACATGACATCAGGAACTTGCCATGTATTTTCACGGTGTTGCGGAATGAGAACGGCCAGGCCACAGGTCGTAGCATCTTAACTCGCCTTCTCGCTTCAAAGTCTTGTAGCTGCCTGGGTTTTGAGCTTGGATGAAGGAGCTTGGCTGCCTTTTCTGCCTCTTGGCATTTTCTTTTTCAGACAACGCTCGAGGGGCGCTGCTCTACTTGGATGTTCGACCCACCAAGGAAGTTGGCTATAACCATGCTCGCAAATATTTGCGAAGCCTGGCCCACTGAAAGCCATGGCTTGAGCTTCGAACAAAAGCCGGGTCGACGCGGCCAGGAAGCCCAGCCCGACGCTCGCAGACATCGAGTCCAGCTTCGATGGGAACTTGTGCAGGCGCGAGCGTCGGGTTCTCCGAGTCCGGTTCCCCGGGCCGCGGCTCGCGGTGCGGTGGTCGCAGCTGCGTGTATCGGTGCGATGCGTGGGTCCACGCATCGGTGCGATGCGACCAGAAAAAAAATCGCGCCAGGAGTCAAAGCGGAGTTTTCAAGTCAGGCGACCTCAATCTGGTTTTGCCTGGCAACAGGAGAGCTTCCCTTCTTTGGTTTCCTCCATTTCCCTTTTCGGAACCTCAAAAAGTGGCGTCGTTTCAATAAAGAGATCAACTCGATTCTTCGACTCTGGCCAAAGCCTTGGGCTTCTAGCGACGTCTCGGATCTTTTTCCGAAGTCTGGCAGAAGCCTTGGCCAGGTGCACCGGGTACCGACCCATCCTGGACGCGGCCAAAGCCTTCGCCTGCGACAAGGACAAGTGCCCCTCCGCGTCGGAGGAGTGGCTAAGCTGCAGAGAGAAATCGATGGCTCAAAGGGCCAGGCATCTCTGTGGCTTTCGGGGCATTTCATGCGGGGGGTACGCATGTTTGGCTTTTTGTGTGCAGATCCAAGGGTTGGTCTTGAAAAAGCATGCGAATCTTTTCCCAGTTGGCGGGAAATATCGTTTTAGTCTAAAAGTGGCTTCACCCAATGGTCATCCCGCGAGCTTTTGATCAACCCCCATGTCGGCATTAGCCAGACAACCGTAAAACGCAGGATTTACTGTAGAATGTCCTGCAGCTGGTTAAACATGAGGGTACCCTATTGAGGGTTGGTGCAAAGGGAGAACAAGATGGGAACACCGCCTTTGAAGGGGATCCCAGTTTGAGACATGTCCAACATATACCTTTTCAGCCCGTTTCAGCATCACCCTTGGGTTGCCACTTTCAGCCGTGATGTTTTAGTCAATTATCACGATGACATTTATGGCCCAGAGGTACATGAGGTAGGTCCCCATGTAGTCAGTTGCATGTTGTACATTCAAGTGGTTGCCAAAGCATGATCCAATCACTGCTTTGGCTCAAGTGCTGAAAACAGCGCGTTGCACCGCGCTAGCCCCAAGGTTAAGGGAGAGGTCGCAGTCACGGAGGGGTTCGTTCCTTTTAAGGTCCCGGGTTCCCCCGTTGTTGACAAAACTGTGTTTCCCTCTCCTTTGAGTGGTTATCAGCCGTAACGCTTTTCGGGTAAACGAACCCTTCCGTGACTGCGACCTGTTGGTCGCACATGGAAGTCGGCCCTCACCGCGGCACACGCGGTGGGAAAGGGCCGCGTGCCCGATTGTACAACACTCTGCAACAGATCGTCGTCGACGAGTACAAGCGGCAGAACAGACGATTCCGGTGGATCAGGTTTGCGGACGCCTCGAAGCAACAGGTCGAGGCGCTCTTCTCCTGGCGTGAGTCACTGGATAGTTGGCACCTGTGGAATTTTGACCAAGAAGCCTTCGACGTGATCCAGGCCGCGGACAACGCTTATCAGCAGCGTCTCGCATTGGTTGAAACCACAGGAGTGGTATTGCCGCAGGGTGCGCCATCTCAGGATCAAGTCGCAGCCTCAGGCGCGGCGGGAGCATCAAGCAGTGCAGCGGACTGGCTTCGTCCTCCGACGCCTCCATCAGCTTCCTCCTGGTTGCAGGATTCGCGCACTCCTTTGCCTCGCATTCGGCCATCTGCAGAGGAAAGACAAGCCGCAAGGTCAACTCTTCGCGGGGTATACGCTAAAGCTGCGGAAACGCGGCGGGAGAGCAGCAGGGAGCGATCAACACAAAGATCGAGGTCCCCATCGCCACGAAGGTCGAGGTCTCCATCAACATCACCGAGACGAGGACCAACTGCTGCTGCCCCTGTGGAACAAAGGGCTCACAGTGTTGAACCCGCGCTTGCGCGGGAGGGAAGGCCATCCAGGACCTCCCTAGCCACTCGGCCCATCGTTTTGGCTCCGCAGAATAGCATCTACCCTGTGACGAGGTTTGACGAACACGGTACCTGGGTATTGGTGCGGGAGGCATCACAACCACGTGAAGCGGCTCCTCGTCGGCGAGCGCAACGGACGTCTGGGCAGCTTCGCCAAGTCGATCCTTACCTCCTCGCTGACGAAACGTGGAGGGACCCGCCAAGGAGGTCCTCCACGAGCTCACGCTCACGGTCTCCTGACCGCCGCCCGGCGCCTGCGGAAACCTTCCGCCTCGACGGCTACAGCTCGAACGAGGACCCACCGCAAGACGCGGAGTCCATCAGGACGGGCAGATCAGCATTCGTGCCTCGGCGCGTTTACGAGGCGCCGACTCACTCCGAGCCCATCGCGCTTCACAGCCGAAGAATCGGGGCAGTTCAACCGCCGCCCCCAAAGGCCGCTCCCAAGGTCATCTTCGGCAGCAAGCCACCGGTGCCCAAGGAGGTCCCCAAGGCAGTTTCTCCAGCGCCTGCAAAGGCAGACATCCCGAGGAAGTCGCCGCCAAGGGCCAGATCTCCGGTTCGGACTCAGAGTGCATTCGGTTACAAGGCACCTCCGCGAGGCTTGAACAAGGCCGAACCCAGAAGCAAATCGAGCTCAAACCCGCCACAACTCGGGTACATCGTCAAGCCGCCACCTCCGCAGGTCGCTCAAGCAGCTGCTGCTAGCGCTGCAACTCCTGAAGCTGGCACGCGATTCCGCTCGCCACCAAGGAGGGCACCGCCTGCGCCCCCGCCGCCACCACCTCCGTCTGGAAGGCCGGTGCCGCCCAAGGAGCTTGTTGTTGCTCTTGACTGGCACGGAGTTCTTGACGTTGGGCAGCAGGGGCCCCACCTCAACCCGGAAGTGATCCGACATCTCGTTCAGTTTTCAGCGGACTACGCACCTATAAATTTTATAGTGCTATCCTTCGTGGGCAGAGCTGCAAGCGAGTATCGCCGCCGCGAATTTCAGGTCGCCCTGGAGCACGCGCGGACAACAACTGGACTCACTTTTTCTGCGATAAAAATCGTTCACGAACGGTTGGGAAGGGGAGGCAAAGCAGACGCCCTGCAAGGGCTGGGCGTACACGCCCTTATTGACGATACAGCATCGATTGTCCGTGAAGCTCAAAAGACAGGCATCGCGGCGTTCCGCAATTATCCGCACTTCGGTCCGGGAGGTTTTGGCAACGCGCTTGAGAACCTCGGTGAGTTCATTGAATCCCGGAACAGACAATTTATTCCGGCGGCGCGAGGCTTGCATCCATCGCAATACCTCGAAGAAATTCACCGATCTGCATCTCAGCTACCCGCCAGCCGGGTACTTCGGTAGTTATTGCTGCGAGCCGTTAAAACCGTCGCTTTGCGCGGTACAGCTTTTGCAATTACAAGCTTCCGATTTGCAGACAAATTCTCAATACAGCTTGGCAACATCTCTCGATAAAGCACCATAGTGCGGCAGTGCGGATCAATCAATCTACAAGTACAATTACAAATACAGAATTCATCAGGTGCAAAGCAGCAGGGCGCATTTTCTTGAGTGGCTCACTTGAGCGTTTCGCAACGTATTTTCTTGAGTGGCTCACTTGAGCGTGTCGCAACCAGCTGCCAATCCAGGGATATCTCCTCGTAGCACCTTTTGACACGCTGCTCAAAGCGCGTGGAGCTAGCTTCGTGTGAGTGCAAAAGTTGCATTGCTGTGTCATGGCTTCAACGGGTTTGTCACCGCCATCAGAACCCCGTTCAAGGTCAACCCCAAATAGGGATTCTGAACCGGATGACCCTGACCTAGCCATGGTTCCTGCAGCTATGTCCACAGTTCGCACATCCACACCTCAAAGAGCAGCCCAAACACGACCATCATCACCCCCGAGTGGTCCGATCGTGTCAGAACCGACATCATCCGAAGCCTCCCCAGTCATTCAGTTTCCTTCACAGGGATCGCAATTACCTGACCCGATGACTAACGTACCCGCTGCGGCATTTATAGCTGGAGCTGCGGTGCAGCAAGCTCATCGAGCATCCGACCTCGCTGCTCAGGCAGCCAATCACGCCTTGCACCAACAGCAGGCCGCCGATCAGGCGAGACAAGAGGCCGGATGGATCAGGGAAAGGGCTGTAAGAGAAGTTTCAGACGTTAGGGTTCAGGCCGCTCAGCTAGCTTCGCAAGCGCAGCAGGCTGTTCAAACAGCACAACATAGTGAGGCTCAGGCTAGGCAACTCATTGAGCAGACACGACAGGAAGCCTTAGGCCATGTCGAGAACGCACGACAGGTTGTTAATGCCACTCAACAGGACGCTCAGCAAGAGGTTCAACGCATTGTTCAAGAGGCTCAACAGGCAATCCTACAAAGGGAGCAAACCATTGCCAGTCAAGAGCATACCATTCGTGGATTGTCCCAGGAAAATTCTGTGATGCATCAACGACTTGGTGATCTCGAACGTGTTGTTGCGCAGCTCACCCAACAAGCTCGTGCGACCCCTGTTCCGATGCAAGAGTCCCCGCCAAAAGCCGCATCAATAGCCGAAACAGCTACGGAAACAAGCGCGGCTAAGGCCTCAAGTCAAGGCACAGTTCCCCCAGGAACCCATCAGCCGGTTGGAGCACCTCAGGTTTCAAGTTCACAAGATGCCTCCGGTGTTGCCGCATCGTCGCAAGGGAATGCTTTTACAAGTACTATCCCCGACCCTCCGTGTGGTTCTGTTCAAAGTTCAGGACTTGGTCACGATGCCCCAGCTGATTCAAGGGACCCTGGTGGGGGTGCAACAAGTCAACATCTCGTAGGCCATTCGGCAGTGCTAGGAGCAGCGTCCTCTGTTGGAGACGCAGCCCCCGGCGCGTCGAGGACTAGCGGGTTGGGTAGAGACGGTCCAAGGGATCAAGCCGATGTGAGAGTGCAAGTGACGGCTTTAGCGGAAATGGTTCAGCAGCTTTCCCAATTGGTTGCTAATCAAGTGGCTCCGCCACCTCCGCCTCCGGCCGCACCACCTCCAGTGCCTCCCATTCCCCTTTTTGGGGCGCCGCCTCCGCCGAAAGCTGGCAATGGCACTCATGTTCCACCAGTACCAATCACAATGTTGGGAGGGTTATACTCGTCATCCCCACAAGCGCCATCGGCAGCAAGCTCCGACACATCATCAGACTCTGATGGAGATGATGATACCCCACAATGTCGAGTTTGCGGCGGCAGCCATGAAGACACGGATTGCCCATACCTCACCATGAATGGTGGTGGGGGAGGTGGGGGAGGCCCTGGCCAGTTCCCCAATGCAGACCCGTCTCAAGCTGCCGATCCTAGTGTAGGCGTGACTGTCACCGATCACGCCACGCATGAGGAATCCGTTGTTCGCGTCAAGGACCTCAAGGATCTCGTGTTGCCATCCCCTCCGGAGAACGCTGGTCAGGCTAGAGGTTTCATCAACCAAGTTTTGATGGCCATCGGTCGACTCCAGAAGACCCCCGGAGATGAAGTTTACCAGTGGGCCCAAGCATGCATGTCCTCCACCGAGCAAGAACTCATCGCGG